GCATATCAAAGCATGCGATGCTTATTAGAGCATATGTTATCTGTCATGCATATCAAAACCTAATATATTTATTAGAACGTACACTTATACATGAGATATATACCAAAGCATATATAAGTATGGAATGAAGTGCATAGGGGACAACCCTTGAAAACATGCATGATCTAAAAGAATTTGTTATAGTAGAACATATTGTTATAAGTTAGATTAAAGCAAAAAATTATAATCAAAGCAAAAAAAGAAAAAAGAAAACTATAATCATAGTAAAAACTTTGTTCAAGAAACATAATTTCTACTCCCCATTTTGGCATTAGCAAAAGTTGGTGTTCCTCTTTAAAATTTTAACTCACCCTAAGATTAGTCATCCTACTCATCAAAGCTCAACTCAATGTTCAAACAACTAAACATCTTGTGGAACTTCCTTTCATAGTGGGCTTGCCTCTAGTAAGCATATCGAAGAGCCTTGAAGAGCCCAACAAGGAGGTTGTTCTTATCTTCTTCAATTGCAAGGAGAGGAGTCTGGAGTGGAGTAGACGAACCTGGCTGATCAAAGGAAGGTAGATGATTAAATTTTCTATACACAAAAATAATGTTACTAGGTAGAAAAATATGAAATGTACAAGCAAAAAGAGAGGAATAGTGATAAATCTTACGAGGAGTGGAGAGAGTGTTGGAGACGAAGGGCATAGTCCTAGAGGAGATTGGGGAGATCTAGATTCTTCTTCCAACAATGGAGGGTAGATGTTTAATCTTGTCTCTATTGGAGGCACTAGAATGATGATACTTGGCATATTGCATGTGGTGCATATCATCAAAGTATGGGTTCGGTTTCTCCTTACCTTTGTAGACGAAGTGGAAAAAAACCTTGGGATGAGTTTTGAGTATGAAGAACTTAGTTCAGGGTTGAATTATCCATGACCTATATACTTCACCTAGCATCTAGGGTAGATGATGAGGGGTTCCCTCATATCTTAGCTCCAAAATAGCTCACGAGTGGATTTGATTCTGGATTTTGTGGTGTTATTGCTAGATAAGTTGAGTAGTTTGTGTGTCTAAAGTTGGTGGTGCATTGATATCAATAGTCTTAAGTTTAGTCTATAAGGTTGTCCTTGGCTCGATAACAATTCCAAGAACTTCACAATAACGCATGATGATGTACTCCTTCTCATTGAAGTAAGGATACTTCTTGGTGCCATCAAGGATTATTGATACCCAATCATCTTCAATGGCATGCTTCTCCTCCAAATGTTGTAGTTCTCTCTCCTCCTCAAAGTCTATACTCTCAAGCTCAAAATCATCAATTCAGGGCATAAATGATAGGAAATTTTTTTGTTCTCGGGGGTTTGGCTCCACCAATGACATATCTACTTGCAAAGGAATTGTCTCAATCACTACCTTAGCAGATAGGGGAGCAATGTCATGGGTAGAAGCAAATGGTTCCACCATCTTAGGGAACATGGGCGCAACAATTTCAATAGACCTTGCTAATAGATCAAAAAAAGGGGGTTGGTGTTACATCTTAGATTGGTGCAGGGCATTTGGTTGGACTGGCTATGCAAAAGTAGTGTCTAAAGGCATCATTTGAACAATAGACTCATCAGTCTATGTTAGACATAGACTCTTGTCTAAGTCAAATAATGGTTATGCAAATGAAGACTAAAGTCTACGTGATGGAAACCTTAGGAGAGATTAGATTGATGTAGCTTTTCCTTCAAGCTTCTTGGATGAATCTATCACTTATTGGACTTCTTCAAGCTTCTTCAATGGCTTCCATTAATGTTAGAAGTCATTTCTAACACATAAGAGAAGGTAGAAGCTCCCTTAGGTGACACCACACTCTTGAAGAATGATAAGTCTCTTCAATTTCTCACCATACTCAAGAGACGATAAGAGAAAAGGAAGAAATTTAAAGAGAGAAACAAGCTTTGAAGGAGAGAATTTGGAGAAGAATTTCAGTCAAATATCAATATAATGCTCAAAGTTAGCACAAAATGGGTCAAAGCTACAATATATAGAGTTTAGTTGGCTTATGTTGCAAGACAGATTAACCATGATTAAATGTAACCATGGTTAGCTATCTTGTACTTATCCAAACCAATTGCATAAGCAAGTGGATGTCCAAACCAAATGGGCCAAAATAAGTTTGGGCCATCCAAGCCCAAACAAATCTAACAAGACTTAGCTAATTACACCTCCCCTAATCCACTAATTACACCCTCAAGTAATACAAGGACAAAATTACCTATACTACATTATCCAAAATACAAGGCCAACAATACCCTAATAAAATCACTACTAAAATGAATTACAAGTAAGAAAAATGTATAACTACTATAGGAGCCTTCTTAGGTAGGATAGGCCTTTAAAGGTAGGGTACTTTGCAAAATAAGGGTAAGTACTCTACCATTCTTCAAATCAACTTTATTGACCTTCACGTTTCTTAGGCTTATATTTTCCAAAGGGATTATTAGGAACTGGGTTTCCATCACTACGTCCAATGCAGTTAGATGAAGCTATGGTAGTAGTTAGGTCTTCAATAGACAGACACAATGCTTCCTCAAGCATTTTGGCCTTTTTAACGACCAATTTTTCATCTTTCTTTCTTTTTTCTTCTTCCTCTAGTTGATATAGAGTTTTGGCACGCTTGAAAAGCCTTTGTTCCTTCTTCGCGGTTAGAGTCTTAGGAAGACCTCAAACCAAATGCCTTTTCTTGGACTTTGGGGGAAAAGTGGCTTCAATAGATGGTTATGGTGGAGATAGTGGTGACTTAGGAGTGTGTGTCGATTGAGAGAAACAAAGGAAGAATGGTTTATCATCTAAGTCAGATGAAAAGTCAAGGATATAGATGTGAAAAGGTTTAGGTATAGGAACTTTTGTTTTTGTTTTTGGTGGTGGAGGAGAGACTTTTGTTTGGGTAAAAGGGAGAGTTGGTGGTTGGTTGAAGGGTTATGGTTGAGGGTAGCTTTTGGTGGTGCGGTGGCTGGTTGATCGAGGACCACCCTTAGAGCTTCATATGGGACCCATTATTAGGTCCATGGCTAGGAGAGTGGAGAAGGATGGAGGAGACACCATGCCTAGAGCTATGCTCATCATGTGTGTAGAGTATTGACCCTCTCCTAGGCCTATTTTGAGTAGTATAGGATTTGTTACTTTTATTCCCATTTTACCCTTGTATTTTGGGGTACCCTAGATGATAGAATTTTATTTTATATTTTCATTTAACCTTTGTATTATGGGACAAATTATCTTAGGATATATTTTTGGACTTAAACCTTGACTTGTGAGGTCAAAGACCATTTTTTTTCTTTCTATTTTTAGGTCAAAGGGTATTTTAGTCTTTTAGGAGGAAAGGAACCCACACCTCATTTAGGATTCATTTAGGGGCATTTAGCTTGCATTTAGCTTGCATTACACAGCTATGCAACCCTAAATGTAACCTTAGATGTTTTCCTTCCCCTATATATACCTTAAGCCTCCCACCATGTACACACTTTGGAATATATGATATTGAGTGAGTATTCTTTTGGCTCAACATCCTTCCTTAGTCATCTAGGGTTATTTGGTCTCAACCTCTCCTCTTAACCTAGAGTGAGTGTTAGGTTTACCTTGAGTGGCATTCATCCATCCTTGGTGAAGTGAGCCAACCTAGAAGCACCCAAACAAACACCTTCCACCTCCCATTCATCCTATTCGCCAATTTCCTTGTCCCTCAAGATATACTTTTTTAATGATTTGTCTCCTTTATGTTAATGTAATAAAAATCTTTAATTTTATGAAGATATAAGAAAATGTCTCATCAATTAACATCATAGATAAAGATAAAAAGAGGGATAAAGTGTCAATTACCCTAATTTAGGATAAATCCAACAACATAAATTCAAATTAGATTCAAATTAGACGTGTGAAATTGAATTATTATTTCTTTCACGTCAATACAAAATAAAGAATATTACAAAGATTAACAATAAAGACTAAAGGTTTAAAAAATTGTAAATATGTTAAGGTTAATTGACCATTGTATGAATATTTTTGAAACTAATTATGTAAGTGAGTCTGTTTTGAAACTATTTATACTTTTGAAACTGTTTACTAGTGTCGCTATGGGTCAGTGATACTAGTGCCACGTGTAATTTTTTTAAATAAAGCCAAAGTCATGCAATAAAAGTCATTACCGCCGATAGTGATCCAAGTTTAGAGTTTAATACTACTAATTTATTCTTGGTTGAGTGAACTATTCTGGGTTATTTTTAAAAAATCTTTTTTTTTTTTTAAATTATTAAAATATTTTAAATAATCAACTCTTAAAATAAATACATTTAAAAATACTTATTTTTTATTTTTACAAAAAAAATTATTTTTAAAAAAAAAATTAAACCATTTGAAAAGTTGAAACAACCGATAGCGACACTACGAAAGTCGCTATAACAAGTAACGACTTTTACACAACTAAATTCAAGTCATTTCAAAAAAAAAATACATTTGACATTAGTTTCGCTATGACCCATAACAGTCTCATATATAAATAATTTCAAAACAATTTCATTTATGTAATTAATTTTTAAAAAAATCCTACAATGGTCGATCAACCATATGTTAAACTATTGAGATTAAAAAAGATTGAAAAAGATAAGTATATGAGCTAAAAATCTATTTTAAATTATAAAAATTAAAAAATTATTTTAATTATTTTTCTTTCATATTGGTATCAACTTGTGAAGAAAAATAAAATGAAACATAGAAAGAAAATATATATAATTTATAATGTATAATTATTAAAATAAAGATAATATCCTTCAGTTTTTATACGACTATTATACTTTTAATTATTTTCTAAATTTTTCACCACTTTACCATTCAGTTACTTTCTAAAATCTAAATTACTCACACCACTTTACCATTCAATTACTTCCTAAAATCTAAACTACTCACATCAGGCACAATAGCCTCTGTTTCCTTAAATAATGTTAATTATCCTAATTGTACAGGAAAAGGGAGAAAGATTGACATAAAGTCCTTATGTGATGCCTCACATATGACACAGTAAATTGCAGAGTTAATGTTTGTGCAACTGTTAACAAAGCCGAATATAAAAGACGTAGTACCCTGAATGCCTGAACAAGAAATCATTTATTTCTAGAAATAGAAATACCAACCACACGAATCCAGTAGCAATTAGGATCTGTTACCAACTTTTACCTCCCCATCCACTCCCAGAAGGAGTTGCATTGTTCCCATGAGTAACACTCCATCCTAAGTTCTCATTTCCAGATCCAGCATTACCAGCATCAGAGGCTTCCCAACTTCCTTTTCCTCTGCTGTCTTCGTTCCAGTTCCTGAAAGATCAAATCTCACATTTTTCAATAAAAATAAAAAGACACGCTTCAATGAAAATTTAGAACTTGGATTAATTTGAAAACATATTCCAGTTGTTAGAGTTCAAAATCAATTTCAACAAGCTCACCTTTCTTGGTTTGAATTATTTCCACCCCAACGACCACGTCCTTGGCCATCACCTTGGCCTCCTCTCCTTCCTCTCCCTCTTCCTCTTCCTCGTCCTCTTCCTTGCTCCTGACCACTATCACCACCATAGCCACCATCTGCATGCCTCCCACTCTCAAAGCTATTTTCACCCCAAGTAACACGTCCTTGGCTTCCTCTACCTCCTCTTCCACTCCCTCTCCCCCTTTCCCTTCCCCTACCCTGTCTCCCGCCATTGCCTTCCCAACTATTACCTGCTGCAGCAAAGGAATTATCACTGGGGTCTCTGGAACCAAAGCCCCAATTTGAACTAGGAAAACTATTGCCATCCTTGTCATCACTAGAGCCAGATCGAGGGCCAAATCCACGGTCACGACCTCCACGGCCACGCCCACGTCCACGGCTGCGGCCACCACGACCATCCCCATGCTCATTGTCAGCTAAAAGCCATAGATTCAAATGGTCAGATCAAACGAAAAAAAAAACATATTTAGACTCTTCAAATGCTACTAGACACAAAATCACAATATATATATACAGAGAGAGTGAGGGAGAGTAAATCATCATTACATTATCAGAGTAAAGTTTTTTACACTGGCAACCAATCATATCTTTTATTGTTACTTATTTTATTATTATTTCATTAAATAAGCAATAGACATGTTATTATCAAAAGATATGATTAGTTGCTAATGTAAAAAGATTTTATTAACAGTGTATAGGTAATTAACTTTTATTTATATATATATATATATATGAGTGTGTATATTATGATGATAGGAAAAGATATAAAGAAAAACGAGGGGATAATATGAGGTGTTTAAAATGGAATGTACACAAATTATTGCTCAAATAAAAAAATACAAACTACAAAGAGTTAATATATCAGCATTGTATCTTCTAAGATATCAATGTTTACATGGAAACTCAAATTTTACTTTATTATAATTTCAAGATTGTTCATTACTTTCAACTACGAATTAATATTGTAGTGTCAATTGGTAACGATAATATTCATATTTGAAAATATTATGCGAATATAATGATATTACACTAACAGTATTACACAATCAATCAAAAATTACTAGTTTAATTTTTAAGATACTTATTATAAAAGTAACAAGTTATCATACATTACGATTAATTTGTAATTCAATGATAATAAAAAATTATTTTATGCATAATTTTTTTCTTATATAGGAGTACATTGTTCATACAGCAAATCTTTAAAACATTTTTCCTTTGCATCTCTTTCCATCGTATTGATCATCTTATCACATTTCCATCTCTATTTGCTGTACAAACATTTGTACACAAATGATATAAATACAATTACATTATTATGAGTCAGCGACTTGGAATTCGATCAAATAATCCATGACAAAAATATTATTTTCAGAGGAATAGACTGCGAGATACTAAAATTTTTGAATTGATCATGGAAATGAAAATTTTAAGGTGGTTTTAATATCAAATTAATTTTGAACTTCATTCCTGAAACAGATAAATTTGCTATTTACCCCAAATTTCAAAACTTGTTTGAACACATTTAATAAATTAAAAGCATCAAAATTCAAATGTTAGGTAACAAAAAATTCATAAATTGAAAGGTCCTTCTTATACCTATTGATTGCTTGTGCTGATCTACATTGTTGCTTCTCCATCCTCCAGACATTGACTCCTTAAATGATCCAACTTTTGTGCAGGATTTTGGTGGTGGAACAATATCATCGATATGATCTTGAAAATATGCTACCAGCTGCTCAATGCTTTTGAAAATTTGCTTCCTAAACTTGAATCCTTTTGGATAGATAGCAACAAACTCATGACGTGGATTTGTACTTCTAATGTAAGACAAGATGAAAGTGCCCGGATGCTCATATGAAATGCCAAAGCCATATGGCATCCTGCTTGGATACTCATTCTTCTCAAGTTTCAACAGATCATCAACCTCAGCTTTCGAGCCTTTCTTAAAATTTCGAAAATTAATCATAGCTTTCAGGTGAACTACCAATGGTTTGACATAATGTTCAATAACCTATTTTCATGGCAGAGGAAATCATTATATGAAGGAAAGGAGAAAATCTCAAAATCAAGAAACAAACATAGATAAACAAAATCAAAATTGAATTTCTTTTTAAGGTAATTATATCCATCAAACAATACAAAATTAACTCAGGAAAATATACTATCATACACTATCTTCTAACACTTGCCCACAGACATGTCTTGAATGTATAGGCTTTTATTTACTATGCATAAATTACATGAAATACCATATGCCTTGATCTTCATATAAGAATCCATGGTTCCATAGGATATAAACAACAAACAGTACTTTCAAGTGTGTAATAATTAATGAATTGATATGTTTAAACACAAACAATGAGGCAACAAAAAACATATGGAAGAATCATGAGGAAATGAAACTTTCTGAAATGTATCTGGAATCTGAATTAAGGATGCTGACCTGATCTATGTCCTCAAATATTTCCTCTCCTACTTTTAATGTCTTTCCAAGTCCAAGCAAATTTTTAATACTATTACTCTTTCCACTTTCCACAATGTCTTTGTGTACATAAACTTCATTAAAAATTTTAAGAGATAGGGTCAAATAACATAGGCCCCTTGAGCTTGGGTGAAAAATATATTCCCCAACATCTTGATCTGCAAGGAACTATTCAATAAAGAACAGATGAAATCAAATCTTCAGAATGTGATTGGAAACTTAGATTAAAAATCAACCAACAAATAAATTAACCTGTTTTGCTTGATCTGCAGATATATTTTGAAAATTGGGGTGAGAAATCTTCCGGGGTATGAAATGTTTATTTCCAAGCTCCATCTTGTCTGTTCCTTCCAGCTGACTCAGTGAATTGATGTTTCCTTCATGATAATAAGGATCCATGTCATGGAAACTTTGCTCACCATCATTCTTCAACTCACTCGCTTTACAAGTCAGATTGACCCGGCATCTGTTCTTATCAATTAGTTTGATCTTGCATGTAAGCACAGCCCCTTCACGCAATTTGTCTGTTAAAGAGATATTCTCAGTTTCATCGGAAAAGTCATCTTTAAAAAGTACTCCAGTCATTCCAGATTCAAGCACACAAAATGCCTGTTGAGACTGCACATGACGAACTGTTGCCTGAACTCTTTTTCCTTCAACTAGCATATCCACAGTCTCTCCAGTTATCATATAGAACTCCTCCTCTTGAGTCGGTTCTGCATAAGGCCTCCTCGGATCTTTAAATCCATTAAGTAATTCCATCTTTATGTCAAAAAGAGTCTCCCTTTTGTATTCACCTTTTTCTGTTTCCAATCTATTAGCATAATCATTTAGATCAAAACACTCGAGCAGGTTTGGATCATTTTGAATACATTCAATAGCATTTACTTGCGTATCATCAGCTTCTGCATTTTCCAGAACACGTTGCCTGTAAATCGCTCTTGCTAGTTCCTCAGCAAGATTATATGACTCTGGATGAATTCTTGTACAATCGAGAGTATTGCTGACATTGTCAAGAAAGTTCTCATCATTGCAATAAACCCGTAAAAAGCCAACAGCATTGCAGAAAACCTTCTCTGTGTTCAGCCCAAATTTAGCAAAATCCCTTCTGTTTCTCACTTCTGTGCCGCCAAGTAATTCTCTACGCAAAATACCCGCTTTCTTGGGTCCAAGACCAGATACAAACTGCAAAGGAGCCAACAGCCAATTATGTCTGATGGCTAAATTTATGTCTACACCTACTTGGTTTGTAACATCTGTCATGACCCATTCAATTATATCTAACTTCTCATCACTTGTTAGGAATTTCTGCAAGGGGTTCAACTTCCAAGACAGAACCTCTTTTTTCTCTCCGCATAGTGTTGCAACCATAGCCAGTGGGTTTAGAAGGAAACGTCCAAGAGCCACAGCTCTCTTAACAATGCCTACAAATTTCAACTTATGCTATACAATTATCAAAAGGAACCTTAAAAAAGTTGGGAAAGAAAAGGGAGGAGAGAGTACAGAAATGAATGCAAGAATCCTATGGATTACCATCTTGTCTGGGAAACTGGCTCACAGAAATTTCTGAAACTTCATAAAGACGAGGCAAGCCTTCCTCCCCTAATACAACTGCTGGTACTCCTATCATTCCTTGACTGGAATTTTGAAAATTGTGCTCCGACAACATGGAAATAATCTGATTGACAGTTGAAATAATTCATTGAATTCAAGGTGTCTACTAACAAAAGAAAGAAATCAAGCCATGTATTAACGAAACTAAGAAAGCAATTGCCATATGAAGATATCACTAGGATAACTAACAAACAGCATTATCATCAGTTATCAACAAAATAACTGGCTGCTGGAATGATATTAATGAAACTACGGTACAGAGGAAAATTGATAAACTCTAAGTTGTGATTGCAAAATGCAGAGACAACGATAAAATACAGGAACTACAATTCATGATGGCAATTAAAACTTAAGAATTCAAGGCACCAAGCTACACTTCATACTTATGTAATCCATATTGCAAAAAATCCTTTTAAAAATAATAAATATTAACTTGATGGAAATTGAATGATATTTTTGTACTTTTCATATCACAAAGCAAATTTTATGGGAAAAAGTGTTTCTGACATGGTGCCGCAGGGCTCTGTTCTAAATATTTCATTTAATACTATGGGTTTGTTTCGATAAATAAACTTCTTCAAAAGCACTTCTAGAAGAGAAAAAATAGGAAGGAAAATTGAAATAATCTTCTCTATAAGCTAAATTAACTTATACATAAGCTAATTTGTAGAAACTTACTTCAATTTGTTTCTCCAAAATCTTATTTTTAACTCATACGTAAGTTAATTTTAGCTTATGGAGAAACTTCAATTATTTTCCTCTCTTAGAAGTGTTAATGAGGAAATCATTTACTGTTACTATTTCATGTTATATATTATGTATTTTAGGAATAGCAATCAATTTATTTATTGCATATAATTAGACTTCCTATAAATTAGGAATTAAATTTATTCTATCATAAATAATTGAAAATATCTTTGTACTATTTATTTGGAAGAAGGGAATTAGAAAGGCATCAAAGGCCAACTTTTCTGACATGGTATCACGAGTCAGGTTTTCTAGACTGTGATTGTCTCTCAGTCCATTTAGGGCTCGTACTTCGGTTCGTGCTTCTGGTTCTGCTTTGTGCTTTGATCCGTGCTTTTGTTTTATGCTTCTGGTTTTGGGTTCAGTTTTTTTTTTCCATTCTTGTTTGTGTCTTCATGGCTATGGAGAATCTTTGTAACCGTCTCAACAGCAAAAATTATGCTGCCTGGGAGTTTCAGTTCAAGATGTTCGTGAAAGGGAAAGGGGTGTGGGGTGTTAAGATATTCTATAATATATCTAAACTATATTGACGGGTCCTCTACTGCCCCCACAGAGAACGATACATTGACGGCTTAGGAGACCAAGGATGCACAAATTATTTCTTGGATTCTTGGTTCCATTGAGCCTCAAATGGTTAATAATCTGGGATTACTTGAAGCAAAGTTACAATCAAGATAATGCCGCAAAACACTTTCAGCTAGAGCTTGACATTGCGAGTTATAAACAGGGTAATCTGTCCATTCAGGACTATTACTCTGGTTTTTCTTAATTTATGGGCAGAGCATTCAACCATCTTACATTCTAAGGTTCCTACAGAGTCACTGTCTGCCATTCACGCCGTTTACGAGGTTAGTAAACGTGACCAATTTCTCATAAAACTTCAACCACAATATGAAGTTGCTCATACTGCATTGTTGAACCGCCATCTGGTTCCTTCTCTAGAAGTTTGCGTTAGTGAATTACTTAAGGAGGAACAACGCTTACTTACCCAAGGCTCCATGTCTAATATTTCTAATGTTACGATCGCCTATTCTACTCAAGGTAAAGGCAAAGGTCATGACATGCGCCAGATCCAGTGTTTCTCCTATAAACAGTTAAGCCATATTGCTCCCAATTGTACTAAAAAATGTTGCAACTACTGCAAACAACATGGTCATATTATCAATGCCCCACAAGACTAGCATAACATCCCTTGAAAGCCTTTATTGCCACTGCTGGTTCAGCATGTCACTCTTCTATTCCTATAACCGCCAAAAATAGTGTTTTGACTACGGATATGGTGCAACAAGTGGTACTATCCGCTCTTTCTGCCATGGGCATCACGGGTAAGTCTACCGCCGCTTCTTCCCCTTGGTTTGTTGATTCTGAGGCCTCTAATCATATGATTGGATCTCCTAAACATTTGCACAATGTTCACTCTTACAATAGCATCAAAAAAATTCAGATTGTGGATGGTAATACTCTTTCTATAGCTACTATTGGAGACCTTAATTCTTTCTTTCAAAAAGTACTTGTGTCTCCTGGTTTAGCGTCCAATTTAATTTCAATTGATCAATTGGTGGATACTAATTGTAGTGTTCATTTTTCTCGGGCTGGTTGCTTGGTGCAGGATTAGGTATCGAAGAAAGTGATCGCAAAGGGGCCTAAGGTGGGGAGATTGTTTCCGCTCCAGTTTACTTCTAGTTTTTCATCCTTTGTTTGTAATAATGTTCCCAACACATTTGTGACTTAGCATAAAAAATTGGGACACCCAAACTCTGTTGTTTTGTCCCATTTAATAAAATTTGATTCGATAGAAAATAAAAATATTATTTCTTCTTCATCCCTTCCTTGTTCTGTGTGTAAACTTGCTAAAAGCAAAACTCTACCTTTTCCCTCTTATGCTCATCGTACTGATAAATGCTTTGATATTATTCATAGTGATGTTTGGGATGTGTCTCCTGTTTTATCTCATGCTCAATACAAATATTTTGCTACATTTATTGATGACTATAGTCGATATATTTGGGTTTACTTTCTTAGATCCAAAGTTCAGGTTTTCACCATGTTTAAGAATTTTTTAGCTTATGTTGAGACCCAATTTCACACCAAGATTAAGACCTTGCGCAGTGACTCTGGCAAGGAGTATCTTTCTCATCAATTTCAGGAGTACCTTTAACAAAATAGGATTATCTCTCAACGCTCTTGTCCCTATAAACCTTAACAAAATGGTATTGCAGAACGGAATAATCGCCATTTGCTTGATGTCACTTGGTCCCTACTTCTTGACGGCTCTGTTCCACCTAAATTTTGGGTTGAAGCCTTATCCACTGCTGTTTTTTTGGTCAATCGTCTTCCATCTTAGGTTCTTGGGTTTAATGTTCATCCTGATTACCATAATCTCCATCCTTTTGGTTGTGTATGTTTTGTCCACTTACCACCTCTTGATCGTCATAAACTTGGGGCTCAATCTGTCCAATGTTCTTTTCTTGGTTATAGTCCTACTCATAAAGGATTTGTGTGTTATGATGTCATTGCTTCTCGCTTTCGCATATCTCGGAATGTGGTTTTCTTTGATCATCAATATTTTTTTCAGTCTCCTTTTACTTCTAATGGCTTTGTTACCCTTCCCAATTTTTCTAATGGTTCTCGTCCTATAGAATGCTTCAAACCAGGCTATGTTTATATTCAACGACAGCCTACTTCGCCCCTTCGTGATGCTGATTTGCCACCTGAACCTGCTTTGTTAGCACAACGTAGATCACGACGCATTATTCGTCCCCCAGATAGGTATGGATTTGGGCCTATTTCTCTTACTCCTACTCTATCTGGCATATCTATTCCTACATGTTATTCACAGGCAGTTAAGGATGCCCGTTGGGTGAAAGCAATGCAAGAGGAGCTTCAACCCTTATAAGAGAATTTCACATGGGACATTATTCCTTGCCCACCCGGTGTTAAGCCTATCAGATGCAAATGGGTGTATTCTGTAAAGTTGAATTCTGATGACTCTCTTAACCGTTATAAGACTCGATTGGTTGCTTTGGGTAACAAACAACAATATGGGGTGGATTATGACAATACATTTGCCCTAGTAGCAAAAATGACTTCTATCCACACAATTCTATCTCTTGCTAGCTCTCAAAGATGGCCACTTCATCAAATGGATGTGAAGAATGTCTTCCTTCATGGTGACCTCATAGAGGATATTTACATGACTCCACCTTAGGGCTTGTTTTTTCCTTCAACTAACATGTGCAAGTTAAAACACTCTTTATACGGCCTATGACAAGCTCCTAGGGCATGGTTTGAGAAGTTTCGATCCACTCTTCTTGGATTCTCCTTTGTTCAAAGTCAATATGATTCTTCTTCATTCATTCACTATACGACAGCTGGTATTGTTCTTCTTCTCATTTATGTTGATGATATGGTAATTACGGGTTCTGATCATACATCCATCCAGCATCTTAAAGAGCAGCTCAAGGCTTCTTTTCATATAAAAGACCTCGATCCTCTTCGTTATTTCTTAGGTCGCGAGGTTTCTATGGACGCTAAAGGTATCTTTCTCCATCAACATAAGTATGTTGAAGACTTGATTTGTCTCACGGGTCTACACTCTGCTACACCGATGGATACTCCTCTTGAGATTAATGTCAAATATCACCGTGCTGGGGGTGATCTTCTATCGAATGCTTTACTATATCGATAGTTGGTTGGTAGTCTTAATTATTTGACTATCACCTGCCCTGACATTGCTTTTGCAATTCAATAGGTGAGTCAATTTATGCACACTCCACGTCATTATCATTTAGCTGTTGTTCGTCGAATTATTCGTTATCTAAAAGGTACTTCTAAGTGTGGTCTTTTCTTTCCTAACGACTCCCCAACTACCTTGGTGGGATATAGTGATGTTGATTGGGCTGGTTGTTCTGATACTCAAAGATCAGTCACTGGTTATTGTATGTTCCTTAGGCCTGCATTGATTTCTTGGAAAAGTAAAAAGTAGTCTCGTGTCTCTAAGTCCTCCACTGAATCTGAGTATCAGGCTATGTCAACAGCTTGTTCTGAGATTATTTGGCTTCGTGGTCTTTTGGCTGAGCTTGGATTCCATCAGACAGATGCAACACCTGTCCATTCTAACAACACTAGTGTCATTCAAATTGTTGCCAATTCAGTCTTTCATGAGCGCATCAAGCATATTGAAGTGGATTGTCATTCTATTTGAGAAGCTTTGGACAATCATCTTATCTCCATTCATCATGTCACCTCACAACTTCAACTTGCAAACATATTTACCAAGGCGGTTCCTTGTCCACAACATCAGTTTCTAGTTCACAAATTGATGCTTCTTGATCAACCACATCAATTTGAGGGGGATGTTAATGAGGAAATCAATTACTGTTACTATTTCCTGTTATATATTATGTATTTTAGGAATAGCAATCAATTTATTTATTGCATATAATTAGACTTCCTACAAATTAGGAATTAGATTTATTCTATCATAAATAATTGAAAATATCTTTGTATTATTTATTTGGAAGAAGGGAATTAGAAAGGCATCAAAGGCCAACTTTTTTGACAAGAAGTGCTTTTGAAGAATTTTACCCAAACATGCACTATGTATATAACCTGGTTTTAGCCCATGTTTTTTTTGCCGACCAAAGGCAAAAGAAAATCCAAAATAGCATCATACAGCATTTGCACCTGCTGTGCAACTAAACCTTCTTAGAAAATGTAAAGCAGCAAAGCTGTGCTTTGATGTCTCATTTGTGACCAACATAAAGTTTTCTCTAATCGAGATGCATTCACATCACTCAAGGATGCAATAACAGTTTGTTTTTTTCCTGTATAATGCACGTGACCAATCTTGAAGAGGGGACAGGTTAAAAATCACATATAATTGAATAACTAGGCCCATCGAGAAAGCCAAGTGTGCTTAAGGATTTAGCTTACCTCGTTAATGTCCTCTCTCAACCTTAAACAGGACACATTATCTGCTCCTAGCACAATAACGTTTGGCTGATAAGTTGTTAGAAACTTGAGGACACGATGTTGATCATTTTTCCTGCTCTGCTGGTCAATGATATTCTGAGATCTTAGTGCAAGTGACCGAGCATGCATCACATCAACCAATCCACCTCCAGAGTCCAACATGACAAATGTGGTACCTGGCTTTCCATTTCCCCAACAACATGCCATGACTCCCTTCCGTTGAGCAGTGCCACTTTCATTGTTCAAATATGGTGCCACAGTGACCCTGTTCCACAATTGCATTGCATAATTCATTAATACCCAGTTTTTAGCCTTAGCATTTAACATTGCCCGTGCTTCCTTTTCCATAGATGGCAAAAGGAATTTTGAAATGGCATCCTGCAGGATTAATTTGCGCTGTTCATTCCAAAGCCTAGTAGATATTCCTTCACTTTCTTTGAGATAGGCATCATTACAGGTCATTGTCAATTCATTTATGGTACGATCAGGCAACTGTATTTTAACTTGAAGAAGCTTCTCTTCTTCAGCCTTCTGAATGAATAGCCACTGGGAATCCTCAAACTTTGAGAGAGGTTTGTCCCGCAGCCACTTAACACCAGAAAATTCATGAAAGGAATCTATTGTTATATTTCCTTCCAATGTTGGGCTAGTTGAGACTAAAACCTTATCCATAAATATGGTACGGACAAATTTCCTGAAAGGAATCTCACTGCTTAACATCACTGCAGCCTGAAAAAAGAAAATTAAAGATTAGTAAGCTAAGATTACTCAGAGTTTGGAGTTATGAAAGACTACTTAATGAATTCAACAGGATACCATGTGCCTAGCCCCTCTAAGTACAGCCTCTGAAGTTTGAAAGGTTTCACACTTATATATTGAAGCTATCTCCTCTGGAGATTCCTGCGGATCTTCTTCGTTGTCTGATCCCTAGAGTCCAATAATATCTCCAGTCAATTGTTACCCAAGAAAATAATGGAATTACAAAGATATCTGGGCACGTGTAAATAAAAGCCAAAACTTACCACATTCTCAAGGGAAACTAAAGAACTAAATTTCTCAGGACTGCCAAATTTTCTTGCAAGTGACCATAGCCCTGCCTTATTGCAATTGGAATAGTATGATTTTGCCAGAGGCCTTTTATAACCAGTATCAAGAAACTCCTCAGCTTGTGGAAAATGCAAATTAAAAATCCTATCAATATCATCAATCTCTCCATCTGTTTCAGCCTTCTTGAGCATATTAGTGGTTGAATCAAAAATCTGTTTATAAAAACTGGATTCTTCAACAAGGAAAGACATTTGATTTTGTTCCTCAAAATGTTGTTTATAGTATCTCATGAGCATGCTCTTCCGCTTCTGAAGAAGAAGCCACTTTGTATCCAATTCTTTGATTATCCAGATCATCTACACCAAGAATGAAGGTATTTATTTCATTGTGTTATGCATTAATTTCTTTCAATAACTAACTTTTCTATTTTAACTATCTGCCTACCTTTCTTCCTATTCAACGCAATAATCTATAACTGAGACATGCAACCTCTTGTTTGTTTAATACATATTATTCAACAATAAAAAATAGTAAATTTTAAACTACCTTGTGCCATTTCAACTTGGATTTTCTCTCAATATCAGTCAATAATATGTTTTCTGACTCATCCGGTTTTGGATCTTCTAGAAGACTTGGGCATTGTTCCTTCCGGTACATTGCAATAAATGGAATCTGAAATGTAAAGAAAATACATTAAAAGAACGAAAAAGGAATTTTAAACATTGTATAACCCTAAAAAGAATTTAAATCATCTAATCCTTACATCATATTTCCCTGTATGATGCAATTCCAAGAAATTAATAACATCTTCCCTTTTTGCTGTACTAACTAGTCTACAAGAGTTAGCCTCGCTGAACAAAGGATTTATGTTGGATGCTAGTTGACTTAGTATCCAAGAACTTTCTTCTTCTATACTCAGTCTGTCAATTGAAGATTCTACAATACCCTGAATTATCTGTAAAATTTTGTGACAGATTATAAGTTAAATTAAAACATTTTGATTGAAAATTGACACATTAGTATTCAACAAACATTTTGAATCATCACCTGCATCCTCTCAGGTATGTCTGTATCATTTACAGAGTTATCCTCTCCGGCTAGGTACATGTTAGTAGGGATGAATGATTCATACTTGTTAGGATCATCGGACTTGGTAGCTTGAGCTTGAACTTCCCTAAACTGAACGGCCTTCCCAAACCTATGTTTCGTTTCTTTTGAAAGTGAAGATGAATGTTTCGTGCCTTTAAACTGCTTTTGTCTATAGGTAAAAATCACGACAAAATAATATATCAAAGAGGTAATGACTTATTTGAGCCACTAAAAGAACTACCAGTATATAATTCACAAGCATGTAAATCGCAAAATACCTGAGAGAATATCCCTTCCCATAGATGACATCCTCTTCATCCACAATAAAATCTGCCATATCATCCTCTGCATCATCGTTAGACTCATCTTCAGCATTATCCTCAAAGAGTGATCCTGGAAATCAAAGGAATTTTTAATCAATTTACAAATAATTGCAAACCAAGAAATCAGGCTTAATTGTTCTAAGCTAGCAGATGATTATCTAATCAAACTGCAAGTTATCAAAGGATATTTTAATAACAAAATGAATATAATAAAACTACAAGCAGATACATATCACCTCCGTCGTCATCAGAAGAGTATTCCATCTGTTCAGAGTCAATGCCAGCCATTCTAAACCTCTTGAATTTTCCAACACTCTAGAAAAGTAGAATGAAGATGGAAAAGAAACATGATAATTGACAAAAACCAGTCTCTCTGGTGCTGAGAAATACATATTCAGAAGGACTATTTATAAAGTGGCAGAAGCTAACCGTTGTTTCTTGATTGATGCTCTTGTTATCGCGAATTAACTCAAGATCCTCATCGTCAAGAATAATGATTTTTGACGATTTCCTGAAAATGAATGGCAAAAGGAGACTGTTGAGTGTTGACTAAACAATATCATATATGAAATTGCATAATAGGGTAATAGGAGTGTATAATAACCTCCTCTTTTTCTTCTTTTGCGTTTGTTTTGGATTTTGACCTTCTTCCGCTTCAACATCTTCATCTTCATCCACATCAATTATAAACCCATCAGTTTCAAAAACATTCAAACCTGCCTCTGCTTCTCCAAGTGAGGTCAATAAATAAAAAAATCACAAGTTGCTCATTCAAAGAACACCACCATCAATACTACAAGTGTTCATGTAACAGATTCAGCATGCGATGGTACGCAATGAATAAAGCTCAAAAGCGAACGACATTGATAGCGATCGACTTCTACAAAACCTAAAAATGCGAAATTACAAATATTGAATTTCGCGCGAAATAGAGCAACAAAACAAAAGGACGTGTGTAGTTTATAACTTTTAAATGTCTATCATACTAATTATAATCAACTTTTTTTTTAAATTAAAAGTAATGATTATTAGTTAATTAAATTTTTTTAATATTATTTGTTTATTGTTTTTTAACAGATCTTCCATTTATTATTCATTTTATTTTTTTATACATTTACTTATAATTAATATTAAATATAAAAAATATTTAAAGCAAATGATGTATTTAAATTTATAGTAGAATTAATTAAAAATAATTACATTAATTACCATTTTTTTTATCTTGATTTTGTCTTGTATTGTTTATAATTAAGATCGAAGGGAAGTAGTATAAATTAATACACTACTATCGTTTCTACATATAAGATTCAATTACCTAATTTATTAAAAAGTAATTAATTTAGTTGATAACAATAAATTTGTCTTATTTATATATATCATTTTAAAACTACTCTTATACTACTTCTCTTTTCTAATTAATACTCATATTTTTTTAATCAACTAAAGTGCATGTCTTATATTATTTTTTTTTAATTAATATTCATCTTTCTCCTAACCAATTACAATGGATATTGTTCTTTAAAAAGTTTTACAATTAATGTATTTTATCAAATTAAGACTTTGATTAGGAACATTTTAGTATAAAAATAATTAATATATCAGATAATATAAATGAGGTCTTATATTAAGAAACAAACAATTATAGGTCTTATAAACAAGAGCATATGTAATATTATACTATCATTGTTCCTATAAGACTCAATTATCCAATTCATCAAGATTAAAAATGTAATTAATTTAGTTGTTTGCAATAAACTTATTTTATTATATATTTTAAAAAACAATTACCCATGTACTATTTTTCTTGATTTCTTAATTAATACTCATATATTTTTTAACCAATTAGAGTGTATCTGTTTAAAAATATTATTCATTAATGCATATTATCAAATTAAAAGAACACACTTTAATTATATGTTATATAAAGGAACAAACAATTGTTTTAAATAAAGTATTAAACAAGAACATAGATGTTCTTATATATATATATATGACTCAATTACCTAATTCATCAAGATTAAGAAAAAGAATTAATTTAGTCGATGAAAATAAATTTGTTTTATTTATATATTTTAAAAAAAAACTATCCTTGTACCACTTTTCTTTCTTAATTAATACTCCTATATCTTTTAATCAATTAAAGTGTATGTTCTTTAAAAAAAATATCATTAATGCATATTACCAAATTATGCTAACAAATATTAATTTGGAGTATTTTAGTCTAAAAATAATTAATTATAAAACAATATGAATTGGATCTTATATAAAAGAAAATTATTATTCTAAGTTGAGTCTTATAAACACAAATGGAGGTAGTATAAATAAATAAACATATTATAAGAAGGTTCAAACAGTATCGATGTAACTTTTACTAACTATTACACCGCTCAATAACTTTTATTTAAATGTGAATTTTTCAAAACTTATCGTTAGATTAAAAATTTTTTACTCTTAGATCATATATTAATCCAAGATAATTTGATATTTCATTCATATAAAATAAAATTGACATAATATATATTATAAAATATATTAAAATATGAACATTTTAATTACTTTCGAATTATTGTTCAATTTTAACAAAATTTAATATAAACACATAAGTTAATATGAAGTTATAATTCAACGGTTACATTTATATTTAATATAAAATTATTAAATAATGTAATAATTAATAAAAATTATATATACCGGCATTGTTTGAAATATTCTCTTTTATATAATATTCTCTTTTATTTATATATATATGTGTGTGTGTTAAAACACACACGCGCACGGACAAACAGGAAAGACAATGCTTAATTTTGCCAGAAAATAGACTAACGATACTCTAGGATTAAATTAAAGTTAATAAACAATTGCAAAACTAGGGATAATAATATTTTTGGAGAATATTATGAGTGTAATTTGTGTATTATAAGTGTAAATTTCTTTCGGTAAAAAAGTGTAATTTTTTTAATATAATTTGAATTTGAATTAAATCTATATTATATCTTACCAACTCTCAATTCTGTGTAAAAATTAAATATAAAAAATAGTAAAGAAAAATAAAATTGTTATTATGTTTGTAACTATGTTTTCTAATTTTACCCTTCAACCAACAATTAAAACGTATTATTGTTAAGAGATAAAAGCGTCAGAAGAAAATGTATACATGAACGGAAGATATCGGCTTTATAATAGCGGTGAAAGAGGCAAATAAAAGAAAAAATAATTTTACATTTAATTTCGATGGAGAGAGCTACATACAGAATGTGAGATGCTTCAAGAATGATTTTATGGTGAAATAAAAAAAAGGAGACAAAATAGTTAAAAGTTAGTTTATTAAAAGGTAAAATAATTTAAAATAGAGTACACCAAAAATAAAAAAGGCAACCTTTATTGTCTTTATTGTATGTATAGATGTATAAATATTATAATGAATTAAATTATACTTTTTTTATATTTTATCTTATTTTTAAAATTTATTTTAACTTTTGATATGTTAAAATGTTTATTTAAGTTATTTATCTTTTATATTTAGACCAATTTAATTATTTTAAAATAATGATCAATTTTAATATTTGAATCTAATAATATAAATTTTAAATCTTGAATTACTCGATTAAAAATTCAAAGTCATGCTCCAGTATCCAAAACAATCATTCTTTTACAAGAATAAAATTGATCCAAATTTAATAAATAAAAAGCCAATATAGATATTTTAAAACATAAAAAAATTCTCTGAAAAAATTTTAAAAACCAAAGTACATCTTAAAAATAAAATAAAGTTTCAAAATGTAATTTAGTTATTATAATATTAAAAATTATAACATTTCCTTTATGCAAGGAGATAACTATACTTAAAGTTCTATTAACCAGAAAAGCAATTTTTTTTCGACAATTAATATTTAAAAATTTTAACTTAACAACATCCTAAAACTATTTCCTTCATATTTTTAATATAATCACATCCATAGATTTTAACTCTTATATTAAAAAAAATAAAATTATATATATTTACCAATTATGACTTAATATTACCGACAATAATATTAAAAAAAAATGTGACATCTTATGCAAAAACCAGAAGAACTCACCGCGTTAGTGTGTTACTACCACTATGTAACTCTAACCGTTAGAGGGAAGAAAACAACAAAGAGAACAATAAAATGAATAAGCTGATTGAGTTTGAGTTTACCGTCTTCATCGATACCTTCGAAGTTTACAGATTCTTTACTTTTTCCTTTCTTTCGTATTTTCTCTGAAAAACAGAAACCAGAAACAGCATTCAGAACCAACAAAACATGAAAATGAAAAAAAAAATTAAATAAAAGAAATACAATAGTAACGATCTGAATGAAAATGAAATGAGTGTGAGGAGATGGAGCATGCAATAATGTCATAATAATTGTTTCACCTTGTTCTTCATGCGGCGCTTCCCTCGTTCCTCTTAGCATCGATGCAGAAACGAGAAACCCTAAACTAAGGTGTGGTGATTGGTGATAGACTGATAGGTTTGGGAAGCAATGCAGTGCAAGGTGCAAGAAGCGTGAGCTAAAAGTAGTGCTCAGTGAGAGTGTGAGACACTGAGAGTGTCACGCTCGCGACTCTGGTTTCATTTAACGAACGAATGAGGTTCCGAGTTTTTGATGCACAAGCGCGTGCCCCTGACGATTCCATTCATCTACGAGATGACACGCTGTTTTGGATATGGCGCTGTGATTTTGCCACGTCACGTAAGTGGATTACGTGGCATGATCTTGAGTGGAGATAGGATTGGATTGCCAAACGTCGCCAAGGATATACGAGTCATTAGCTTCAACGAGTTTGGGGTTAAATGTCATTTTACATAAGAAACATGCATGGAATGAGGAGGCTACAGAGAGATAATAATGTTGCCAAGTGTGCATTTCTTTTTTTTTTTTATTTTTAAATTAAATTTTAATTAATGTAGCAATTTCTCCGTAATATTAATTAATAATATTTATTTTTTTTATAGAAATTTTTGTCGGAAGAAATGAATTCAATTTTGTAAATTTTATTATTATTTTGTCATAGTTGAAGAAGTTTCATTTCACTAATATTTTGTTTTTTACTTAAAAATAGAGACTTTTAATCCTTTAATTAATAAAATTCATTAATAAATAATATGAATCATTTATTAAAATAGATAAAATAAGAATATTTTATATGTTATTTTTAAAATTTTATTCTTACATGTTACATATCTAAATAATATATTATTTAAGTGATAAAAAAAATTATTAAAAAATGTCAAAATTTAATGATAAATTAATATCGAATTGAAGAGAAGGCCCAAATTATGTATTTTTAAAAATAAGGGAACTAAATATCTCTATTTTCTGGGACAAAAATTACATATTAACTAAAATAAAAGACAAATTATAACTTACTCTAATATATATTTCATTTAATATAAACTAAGATAAAATTTTAATTTTAGTTACAAAAGACTATCTACCGTATTGCTTTTAATTTTTTTTTTTTATTTATTCATCAGTTCCTATAAATTAAATTTGAACCTCTATCTTATGCAAAAGTATTTTAAGAATTTTTCTTTGACGAAATTCTTTTTAGGGATTTTTAACTTATTTAATTTGATTTTTATTTATCATAATTAGTTTCAATTAAATCAAACCCTATGTATTAAACACGAACTCCTTATCTTGCTTGAAAGTATTTTTAGAGGTTTCAATTTGACAAATAAGTTTTTAAGAATTTTTTAACTTTTTATTTAATTCAATTTTTATTTATTATAATTATTTTAAATTAAATTTTAATATTTTAAAATAAATTATTAATAAATAAAAATAATATTATGTTATAATATAAATTATCTATTATAAATATAAAATTTATATTTAATAATATATAATTTATATATTTAAAAATATTTAATTATACAAATTTTAAATATAATTTATATATTCGTATAAAATTACTGCTAACTTAGTAGCAGAGTAGTAATATGCGCAACTAATTGTGTACACATTTGATGATGTTTTGCATTTCTTATTTGAAAAAGTCAAGGAGAGAGTAAATTATATTAATGCATATGCTTTTCCTATTTTATTGCTTGAAAGACAATAAACAAATGTCTTATAGAAATTCTTTAATAAATTTTATTAAACACACTTTTATTAATAATTAAATATTTTTAAAAATTATTTTATTTTTATTTAATGAGTATAATTCATAATTTTGTAGTTTTTTTTTATAAACAAGTATTTTAGTTTATGTATTGTAAGAATCAAATATTTATTATATAAAACTAAAATTTATAATAAATTATATGTATTTATAAATATATAAGTTATATTTAAAATTTGTATAAATAAATATTTTTAAACATATAAATTATATTTTAAATTTATGATAAATAATTTATATTGGAACGAGATTATATTTAATTATTGATATTTTATTTTAAAAATATTAAAATTTTAATTATAAATAATAAATATGATAAATAAAATTATAGTAGATAAGAAGTTAAGATACTCCCTACAAAACTTCTCATCCAAAAAGAACACTTAAGAATGTTCTAAATAATCAATCGTGTTCAATATATATGTTTACTTTTTTTCTATATATATAAGAAACAAATACCTGAATTATGATCAATAAAATAATTTTAATTATTAATTTTAATTAATAATATCATATATTTAAATTTTATTCTCAAAATTCCTATAGAATAAAATGATTTAAGTTAAAATTATATACCAACATTAGTTGACACAAGTCTAGTTGATATCCTTTAACAAGTTGGCAAATGTTCAAATCCTCTTATCTTAACTATGAATTCATAGTCTATGTAGGGAGGTGTTTTTAATTTATTTTAATCTTTTATCTTATAAATTGTTTATTTTAGTTATTTATCTCTTAAATTGGGATCTATTTGATCCTTTTGAATTAATGATTATTTTTAATTTTGAGAGAAAATTTTGAATATTTTGTTGTCTGAATCAAAATGTAAAATTTATCTCATTAGATTCATTTATATAAAAACTATTGAAAACAGTTGAAATTCAAACTAGAAAGAACTATAAACATGATGAAAGTTGCATATAAATAAGTTCAAAAAATAACAAAAATTACTCTAAAAATTCAATTTTATATTATTTTTAATTGTTTTTGAGATATATTTTTCACATGACTTTTATTTGTTTATAATTACCTTAGATTCAAACTTTAATTAAATTTCATTGTTTTCATACAGGTGTATCTAATGAGATAAGTTTTAAGTTTTTTGAATCTTTTAACAAAAGATTCAACATTATATCTCAAAATAAATAAATAAAAATTATTGTTTCAAAAGGACCAAATAAGTTATAATTTAAGATATAGGATTAAAATGAACATCTAAAAGATAAAAGGGTTAAAATGAATTAAAAATACAAAATAAATGACTAAAAATATAATTTAACCAATAATTATTTATGTAGGACTAGAAATCTTTCAAAATTAGGTAGATTCTTTTTGTTCAAACTATCAACACTTTATTTTTAAATTGAGAGTATGAGAAACATTAAAGTCACATTTGCATAAATATAAACTAGTAAGAATTTGGAGACGAAGTTGAGATTAAGAAGTGAAATGATTAATTTAGACTCTATACCCTAAAAAGATTAAGTTTGGAGAAGAACATATAAAAAGAAAGAGATTGCAAACAATTGTAAATAATTTGAATTGAAATGGTAGTTGAAAACAATATAGTATCATGTTGATTTGTGAATCTCACTAAAACTTGAGATATAAAAGTGTTTATATGTTTCAATATTTATTACAAGGTACGAACTAGTATTTAAAGTATAAATCTTAACTAACTATAACTGCTAATAACTATCAACAATTCTTGACCAATAATAATTTTTATTTTAAATCTCTACTGTTGATAATTTTTGTCTCCAGTATTCATCACTAATGACTTCTATGACTTAAATTCTTCAAGTCTTCAAATTTTTCATCAGCTTGTCATAATGAGATTGATTGAAAAATAATATTTTGACACTTTAACAAAATAATAAAATAGAATATTATTTTTTGTATCGAGTCAAAATGTTTTTCAAAAATCATTTTTCAATGTAATTAAAAAATTATGATGTTAATTGGAGAAGAATGTCCTTTTTTTTATAAGCTCATAAATTTTTATAAAAATTATTTTACTTATAATTAAGAATAATTTATATTAATATTATAATTAAAAAATTATATTTTTAATCAATAATAATTATATATATACATATATTATATTCATTATAAAATATATGTATATATGTGAGTTGCACATATATGTACACATTAATAATATAATATAAAATAGAATAAAAGTCAAGTATTACATTATTAAACATAATAAACACCACTATTATATGAAAATAATATATTATAATATTTAATAACGTAACATTTGACCATTATTATCTTTTTATATTATATTAGTAATATGAACATATATGCATCATGCATTTCACATCGATACATACAATAAATAGTAAATATTATATATATATATATAAAATTTATTATACTAGATTTAAATTATGCAATTATATTTTTTATTTAATATTCTTCATGTAATTTGATTTATAAAATACATAATTTTTTAAAAATTTGTTAAATTATTATTTTTTATGTTAGCAAAATTGAGAATTTTTAAATATGAAATATCTTTTTATTCTAATATATATTTTTTATTAACAACTAATGTCATAAGCTATTTGTGTTATACATTATAAAATATAATTTAAAAATTCAAAGAATAATATTTGGTTATATTACAACTATTGATAATAAGAATATAATTATATATTAAGTAAAATATTTTTTCAATAATTTTATTAAATATTTTGTATAAAATTATATTTATTTTTATAAATATCATTATAATAAATATTATATATTGTAAAAGTTATTTAACTAGAGTTATAATAACCCCTCAAAAGCGTATACGACTTCTACTGAGAGTTTTAATATCTTGATTAAATTATAGGGATTTGATTTTATATCCCAGGTAATTGCAAGTGTTTTTTTAGAAACTCTAGTAATATTATTTTTTTAATTATTTAATGTAATAGGTTCAAAATTATTATTTTTAATTTCTTCCCAATTATTTATTTTCCCTTTATCACATATACTTCACATTTTTCCTTTTTCCTCTTTGAATCTTAATAACATTTCTAAGGATCTTCTTCAAACATCTATAACACACATTTCACACCATTTTCCCCTTTTCTTTTTGAATCCTAACAACATTCCCATCTCTCCCTATTTTTGCATCACAGGTGCGTCCATCTTTTGTTCACGCCATTATCTTTTGAAGCTATTTTGGTGGAATCATTTATTGGTGGAACCTATAGGCAACCAACTCAATACATTCAAAACCATAGGCAAACAAAGCTTTCTAGCTGAACCCATAGACAAATGAAACTTTCTAGTGGAACCATAAGCAAACAAAGTTTGGCGGAACCCATAGACAAACAAAGCTTGCTTGGCAAAGTAGGAATCATTTTTGAGTAAGTGTTTGTTCTTTTTCTAGTTTTTTTCCCTTTCTCACACTCTAATGCTCCTGGATATTTTTTATTGACA